AATATTTGATCGTGCAACCTCACTTCAGTTTATAATAGTTTTATTTTTATTATTTTTGAGCTTTACTAACGGTGTGGTGTTGCGAGTGTGCCGATGACTAGCCTTGCAAATTCAGTACCGTTTCTTTTGCGTGTTGTAAGAAAAATCTTTTCAGCATTCTTCTTAATGACATTGTCTTTATGCCGTAAATTTTATGTAGGATACTATTAGGTGGTTGTCCATGTAGGTTTGTACTGGATTTGAATCGATTGGTTTCCATGTAGGGAAGGTCGGTGCGAAGATCGATCGAACACTGTACTATACTATTCTCAGTGATGCATCCAAATCAAGTACGTTGCCAAAGTTTATTGCAGTCTTTGTCAGACAGTGATTCCAGCTGTTCAGAGGTCGTCAGGTGTGCATCTTGATCCCTAGCCGGGCGAAAGTTTTTCGAAAGGCTGAGATTGTCGATGCAGAGCAAGTTTCAGTACCATATATGGGTGTACAGCAAATGGTTAGGTTCCCGTCACAGTATTTGGTGATTTCGGTGCTTATTCACCAGACAGTGGAATTCTTCTCCGTTTTCATTTGCGTTAAGCGTCGTACTTTCGTACCTTCGACGCTTCATGTACTGACTGCGTATCCGTCTTATCTACTTAGCCATCATCCACTGTAATTGTGATTAAAAACTTTTGTCTCTGCCAACCAAGTTCTGCACTGTAAGCCTTTATCGGAGATATAGGGTCAGAACAGTCTTTGAGGGGGGATTTGACCTCCTCATTTCTTCTCCTTACGCTCTGTTAATTGTGAAGTGATATACTGATCGGTTGAATGGCCGCTATTAGACAAGGTTAGATTTCGAATTCTTACGGTACGTTGTGAGGATGAAAGTATACGTTATGTTCGGGGTATTAACAAACGATAATCGTTCTGGAAGATTGATGGTCTTCTATCGTTGTGCCCATATAAGTGTCATTCTGCCTTCTCTGTGTGATTCTGATGATGAACAACGCTAAAGCGTGATTCGTTCTAGTAGAATGTTTAGGCAGGTTTACCGCCTTTGCTGTGTGTGCAATGAACTGGCGCTGAATATAGCTTTACACTAGTAATTATAAGTTCAAGTTTAATTTTAGGTTGTGTTGTTAGCAGTTGCTCTACTGTCGTTGGATGAATTCTGATTTTTTGCTCTTTTTCCTTATTGTGGCTGAAACGTTCGACAGTATAAGCGGCAGCTGTGTTCGAACAGGAACTGGGTTGTTATGCCGTAACTGGATTGGTGAAGATTTTCGTTCGGCTCTGAGTAGCGATGTTCGTTTGGTTTCATTGCAGGACTACAACGATTCGTTACCGTTGCTCGACCTTGGTTTTGTTTGTTTGTTACCGAACGTGTCATCGGTGAACATCGTTCGTTCTGGTGTGAAGAAGGTTCAGGCATCGTTTGGCGACCATCGAAGGTTCGTATCTTCGACAGAAAATCCTTTGTTTAATGAAACTTGCACGAATTCGACAACTTTTACTTACTTGAACCTCAGTTTCAATTTGATCGATTCGGTCGTCAGTCTGAACCAAGCTCCTTGGTTTACGCAGCTGCAAGATGTATCATTGGCGCACAACCGTCTTACGACGTTTCCGGTCATCGCTTGTTCGGTCATTACCCTGGACTTGTCTGACAACCGGATCGACGCTGTACCGGACAGTGGTCTTCACTGCACGCATAGCCTGCGCAGTCTTGAAGTCGGTGGCAATCGTTTGACGGCACTTTCAAAAAACGCGTTCTGTTCTGACATCCGTTGTCCACTACGTTCCTTGTTACTTCAACATAATCTTCTAACGGATATCGACGACGAAGCTTTTCACGGACTGCGTGATTTGGAGCTGCTTGATCTCAGTTACAACCTTGTACAAATTTTGCCATCTAAGCTTTTGCATCTTTTGCCTGCTTTAAAGCGTCTTGATGTCAGTCATAATCCGCTTACCGTACTACCACCGGTGCGGCATGAAAACCTGCAACAGCTTATCGCGTCTCATCTTCACCTGTCGTACTTGTCTTTCACGTTGTTTACCGATGCCATCAAGTTGACTACTCTTGATCTGAGTCACAATCACAAATTGCGTTGGGTATTCGGTTCTCTTTCAAATGATGCCAAACGCTTGATTCGTCTTGATTTATCTTTTTGCCGTTTGTCGACCTTACCGATTGAGTTTTTCACCAACTGTTCGCTGACGTCCGTTTCTATCGCTGCCAATCCTTGGAAATGTGACTGTAACTTGTTGTGGTTTGCCTTATTGCCTACGGCCGTATCGTTGGTCGATCTCAACCTGACACGTTGTCATACTGAAGACAGCTACGAGAGCGACATACCAACTTTGAGCACCGATTTGGTGCCAGATTTGTCAAATTGTACGATTGGAGTTGACCGCACCAGCCAAATGTTCCATCGTGCAGTGTACGGTTCAACGTTATACGTTGGTTGTGACGGATTCGGTTATCCGGTGCCGGACGTGCTCTGGCAAAAACTGGATAACGGCTCTACGCCCACGAAGCTTTTCGAATGGCATCCGGACGGCGATGTACTCGTTAAGTATTCTGACCAACGCGACATCAGTTGTTTATCCGGTGGAGTGATTGTTTTTTCGCATTTGAAACACCATAACGTTGGCATCTACCAGTGCATCGTTAGCAATACGCATGGAAACGGTAGCAGGTCGTATTTTGTACGTCTGGACTATGCGGTTTGGCGGCAGATTAAGAT